AGAGATGACTTGGCCACAAATTCCTTTAAAAGTGCCACCTTGCTACATGGTGTAAGAGTCATTTAGTTGGACTTTATCCACAATTACTTGCTGCCACGTTGGGGCTTATTAAGCCTATCCCAATATGCTAATTTAATTAGTTAATCTCCTACTAAAAATTAATAATTATCTAATTATTCATATAATTAAGAATTATCTCAAATTACTTAAAATACTACTCACTTTTAACACACTTTATATACCTTACTATCATAGTCATGTGCTACCTTGTATGGCACTAGTCCATAAATATCGGGTATTATAGCTTGGACTGTATTTTATCCCAAATTGACAACCTTCGACGAAACTCATTTTCTTTCACTCCTTTACCCTCTGACCTTCACGACTTTACTTATTGCCTATTATAAATAGCATAAATGTTTATAACCTCAAAAATAATCTCATTTCCGAGTCTACGACGAAACTTTAAAGTACGAAAATGCGGGATATAATATCTTATTTTCGAGCTTTCATCAATGTACTTATGACGTACTTTTGCATACGAAAATATGGGGTATAACAAGATAGGGTGGAATTTTAAAGGTCTTTGATATGGCATGTGGGGCGGTGTCATCACTGTACGGCTGCTCGACAAACCAACCTGCATCTCTCTTCGGTAAGAGCTTAGGGCGCCCAGTATCTTGTCTACCCTTTTTTGGTGTTCTCTCATTTGGTTCCGAAGTGTTTTGTTCTTATTTTCTATTTCCTCCATCCTTTTCAGAATAGCTGCGAGAGTGTCGTCACCTGCACAACTAACGACATGGTGAGTAATACCTGTCGTCGGAGGAGGAAGTTGATCATGTTGCTCGTCTGCAGGTGGTACAATGCAAATCCTCACATTTTTTATAGACGCGTCTCAAACGGGATTACGGAGGACAATGGTTAGCGTGTCGGTTAGCCACGGTTCAAGAAGCTTTTTTTTACTGTCGGTGGTGTCTCTTCCACTACGGATGTGGAGGCTCCCTTACCAAGAGATTTTATAATGCTACAGTAAGGAGGGGGCAACGCACCTCGCCTGGGGTATGCATTGGGTATTGCGTCCTCGTTCACTGCTTTAGAGCTCTCATTGATGATATTCATGAGGCTGGTTGGGAGGCTACTCGTTATTCTCGTTCTTTCTTCTCTGTTACCTGCCATATTAGATCTGTGTATACAAAGAAAAAAGGATCTTGTTCTTGTTTTCTCTTCTTCTTCTTTTTTACGTTAGTGATTCGTATTAGTTATAGATCTAGAGGAAACTAAAAATTAAACTAGGAAATCCCCACAGATGGTGCCAAATTATTTGACTAGAAAGTATAACTTTCGGTTGAAATTATTATATTTATGTTAAACCTAGTTAATGACAATATCTCTAGATGCGAATCTTGAAAGCGTGTATAAGGTGGGACAGATCCAATAAGGGATTGACAATAACAAGCATTAAATTGTCATAAAGTATGAGCAATAATGGAAGAGTAACTGATAATAAATAGCAATAAATAACATTTAAGTAAATAAGATGAGTGATTCACCCAATAAAGAATGAAATTGATGATTGTTTCCCCCCTAACAATAATAAGTGACAGACAAATCTAAGACAGTTCGAACTATTCTTGGATCTGATGGAGAATAATATGAATAAGGATCTTGATAAAAAGGTGATGTTTATCTTCTAGAGAGAGAGAATCTTTGTTTTTTGCCCAATATTATTATTAAATCAATATTACATAATTCTTTGTCCTTATCTTTTTCTCCTAATATGGGGTACACCCACGGTAAACCCTAATAGTACATGTACAGAGAATATTCTTTAGAATATTCCCGCTATTGTCCTATTCTAAAAACTAACTGTTACGATTCCCTCCACGGACTTCGTCCTCGACTGTTATAAGCATCCCGACCACGAGTTTCGCCATCTCCTGATCGACCTCGACTGATTTTTCCTTAATGCTTTCTTGCTCTAAATGTTCCGCGGTAGATTTTGACCTATACAAATACATGTTATGCTTCTATTTGTTTTGGTGTTAGAATCCAATGTGCATAACGAAAGAGATATCTTCCATCGGTGCAAATACTGTGATGAACAAATCGTCTTAAAATAGAAACCAGCCAAATCCCGGAGAGGAAGCTTACGTCCCTTATTCGTATATGCAGTTTGTTAGGGACTAACAAATGTCACTTGGTTACAAAGGATTTGAGTTCTAATAATATAAAGATTCTCTGTATATTTTATCAGGTTACTAGTTTATACTTATCACAAATTATTTATAATACTATTATAAATAACTTACTTACTTCGGTCCACTTTAAAAAAAAATATTGGCCTTTTCTTGTGGCCCACAATAATTGATTTTTTCAGATATGAAAAAGGAATTAATTTCTTTTTTCCAAAGTTGCCTTAAGAATAAAGAGCCTAGGAGTATTTGTTATATTTCCAATGAACAAATTAAGGTTAACATTGTCATTTTCATTGTTAATTAATGCTAAAAGGTGAATTTCTTAATAATACTGATCACAAATTATTTATAATAATATTATAAATAACTTACTTCTTTCGGTCCACTTTAATTATTTTTTGGCATTTTTCTTATGGTCCACAATATTTGATTTTTTTCAGATATCAAGTAGGAATTAATTTCTTTTTTCCAAAGTTTCCCTTAGAGTAAAGAACCTAAGAGTATTTGTTATATTTCCAATGAACAAATTAAAGTTAATATTGTCATTTTTATTATTAATTAATGTCAAAATGTGAATTTCTTATTGCGTTTGAAAACGGCCAAAAAAATTAATTAACTCTAGTATATAAAGAGAGGCATGCAGTTGGCTGCCCCCCTCCCCTTATAACCATTAGCCATAAGACATTAATTTTGCTTAGTGTTTAGAATTGTGTTTCATTTGTGAATATAACTTCTACCAGAATTCTGTTTCACATCTTTGCTGTCTATCTGCATTATAAAAGAAACGTATCCAACACTGGTTGGGAGTACAAACTGGACACATGCAATGGTAAACGTAGAGAACGTAAAGGACTCTTTTATTGTATGTAGTGTTAAATATTACTCCTATTATTATTGATTTGGAAAGGTAATAATAACTGAAATTGGATAATTTGGCTTGCACTGCACGTGGCGACGAACAAATGCATGTAATATACCGTAAAAATAAGTTCCGAGATTTTCCCTATCAATTCTCATTTATCCACCAAGGAAAAAGAGAGAGAAAACCAATTAAAACGTGGGTAATTAAACTCAATCGTATGTATATAGGATTCTCACACAAAGAACCAACTCGACATGAATTCAAGTCGTTGCTGGGATGCAGGAGAGAGGAGATCACTCTCCTTTTATTTCTTCACTTTCGTTATTAACTCTTCATGTCAAGAAGAAACATGGGGAGCAAAAAAAGAGACTATACCAAAGATTGTGAGTTTTTCCTCTCTTTCTCAGTATATATATTACACGCAGATTTTGTCTACAAGAAAGAAGAGAAGGAATAGATCTAGAGAACTAAAGAAGGAGATGAAGATGGAGGAGATAAAGAAAAGGTTAAGGAGATCAAATGTATTGATAGGAATGTTAACAGTTCAAGCGATAGCAACTGGATTACAACTTCTTTCAAAGGTGATATTAAGTAAAGGGACCTTTGTTTTCGCACTCATGGCTTACCGTCATGTCGTCGCCACTCTTTGTATCGCTCCTTTTGCTTTTATTTGGGAAAGGTTATATCTTTATCTTCCTTTTTCTTTCCTCTTTCCAATTAATGAGTTTCAGTACAGTTAATGCCATTTTCTTTAATATATGTACTATCCTTTTTCTGATTACGTTTTTTGTTTGTGTTTGTTATTTTGTAGAGAGAGCCTAAAGAAAGTGACATGGGCCGTTTTTTTCTGGCTTTTCATGATCGCATTAACCGGGTAAGTCTTGTTTTTTCTTTTTCAAATATAAGGGACAATTGAGGAGCTTCGGGTAGTGCTGTGTGTTTGCCGTCCAACAGGGATAAAATTGAAATTTTACCTACTGTGTTATTTTGATTGGACCTTACTACTGTAGCCCTTTTAGTTATTTTTGCCTGCCAAGTTATTTCATTAATGTGGCCCCACAAGAATGAGGTATCAACTTGGTATGGTATAAAATCCGAAAAATCGAATTTCGATCGAACCGAATTAATTTGATATTTCGGTTTCGATTTTATTGATATTTCGGTATATTTCGGTACAAAAATTGCGGTATTTCGATAGTTCGGTACGGTTAGTTCGGAGTTTTTGGTATTTCGGTCTACCGAAATATTTTATTCCAAGCCCAACTTCTTTTTTTTTTTCAACCCAATAAGCCTAAGCCCACACCCAGACTTACGGGCAGTGATACTCTTAAGTCTTGCCCCCTTTCCCTTTCTATTTTCTAACCTAGACTTCTATCAAGTTTTGGACCATCTCTATTTGAGGCAAGTCGTCTTCTCTAGTTTTGGACCATCTCTATCTGAGGATTCTTTGGCATTACTATTTTTCTCGGAAGAGTGGCTTTTGTTCTTTATTTCTCTAAGGTCTTTTTTATTATATTTTCATGACTGATTTGCCCAGTCTTGCTTGGTGTAAGACTAGTCCTGCCGTTAAGTTGAGATATTTTTCTTGAGGAGTTGTTACTGGATGTTTGTGCTAGATACCTTCTTCACTGAAGATTTTGGTGACAATGAAACAGTTGAGGTAACAACACTCTTTTTCTTGCTTAGCTCGGAGGATCCACCATCTTTCTCCATTTTACAACAGTGGTTTTGTCCACTGCTTGATCCATTCAATAGAGACTCTTAGAGTTTTGTTGTTACTCTATTTCGTTAGTTGGCTGATTTTTGTTGATGCTTGTTAGATCATAGATGGAACATGCTTGGAATGTTGGTTTTGCACTTTTGTTGTTACTTTATTTCTTCCAAATATCATATCAAACATAAATTCTAGTATTGTCTAGCAGGCATCAGCTAGCTTAGGACATCGTGTCCAAATGTCCAGTCCACTGTCCACTCTATCTATATCATCTATTCTACTAATGTATTAAACCGAAATCGTACCGAACCAAAGTAAGAAATATCGAATCGTACCGAACTACTTTGGTATGGTATTTGGTATTCATAATTGATAAACTGAATACCGAATTGAAGTTTTTAAATACCGAACCGAAAACCGAATGCCCACCCCTAGTATCTACTCATTGATGTTTCACTTTGGAGAAATAACCGTTTTTATCTTTAGATTGTTGATATGTTTTCTTCCTCCCAATATAATGTAAGTAATATAATTAACGATATCAACAAAAGGGTGAATAATATGACACAAATAAAATACTTAATATAATAACTTTAAAATATTGATCATTTGAACATTATGACTTGCGAACCTAATGGTTAAAATAAGCAGCTTTTGTGTATCCGCTCATAATTGCAACAAAAAATAGTACATTTTTCATTAAAATTCATCATAATGTTCTAAAATAACTTATGAATAGGAAAATACATATGTTTCAAAGTTTGGAGTTATAACATATAAAAGTCCTTATGCATCCTCAGTGTTCATTTATCTTTATTAGTTAGTTCCCAGAATAACATCGATAGAAACACCATGATACCACTCAGCTCGATAAATTCATCCTACTTATTTAAGTAATTGTAAGTGTTATGCTTCTGGAATGATTTAAACATCTATGTGTACATATTTGTGGTTATGGAAGTCAAAAATTTTGAGTGGGAAAAACGAAAAGTCTTTTGAGAGTTCCAATTGATTATATGATTGAATAGTTCTTCTAAATGTCTAACTGTCTATACAAGAGTAAAGTGGTGCATACACCAATTTGAAATGCTAAACAAAATCCGTTACTTTTACGATATTTTTCAAATGTCGCCAAGATTATGATTTAAATTCAAAAAGAGAGACATGCTCACTTAAACAATAAAACTAAATTCTACATACTAGGCTAGTATATTCAAGAAGGCATAGAAATAATTTTTCATTTAGGAAATAAAAATTCTAAATGGCATACATGATTATTGGTTAGACGATTGCAATAATTTCAAAGAACTCATAAAAATTATCAAATGAATCAAATTAACTCGGTGCATGCTTAAACATATTGTTTTTCTCTTGAATGTCATTTAGAATAGGTAGATATAAAAGTAAATACTCTTTCGGTCAGTACTTCCATTGTCAGATTTTACTAAGTTAGTTTAGGTAATTGCTTTTAATCAAAGTCTTAATCTTGCGCTTGGGAAATTTAAGTACTATTAATAAAATTATTGATGTGAGTAATTTGTTTTATTCCGCTCATCATTTTTATTATTCAACATCATTAAATCATATGCTTGATTACCTTTTTTATTTTAAAAATGTAATTTAGTTATTATATAGGCAAGTTCATAACATAGATATTAGAAAAATGAGAAAAATATAATGATATTAAGAAAAATTTAAAAGAAAGATAAAAATTGATAATATAGAGGTTAAAATAGGCATTAAAAAACTAATTAGAAAATGAGGGGGAGAATTATGATTGCTCAATGTTGAGAGGGGGGGTTTGATTTTTAAAACAAAGTTAGCGGGATGTAAATGATTTTTACCTAGAAAGAAAAGAAGACTTTTGAAAGTTGTGGTCTAAAACAACCCTAAGTTATTTTTGTGGTTATAAATCATTTAATTAAGAGTAAAAGATAAATTTTATAATTAAATTATTTTAAATATAAAAAAGGCATCATTTTTTAGGACTATATTGGATTGCATGAAAGTTTTAACTATTATAAATTGAGAATTGCATTAAATTATTTTGGAGGAAAATAACTTTTTCCTCGGGATTTAGTTCAAATACTTTTTGTAAACCTAAATTGTCTTTTTTTTTTTCTTTTACTTAATCTCTACAATCGTATTTAATTTGTTACACAGTAAGGATAAATTCAGTTGCCTTTACTATGGTAAACTTGAAAAACATGTTGAGAAGGTGTAGAATTTTCTAGAAGACACTATATGATGGCAACTTCGTATTATGACATATCTTTATTACATGGCTAATATAAAAACATATGCTATAAGTAATTACTTAAAATAAATTAAATGCACCAAATTCGGATTTTGAATATGTCACACATTACACTGGAGTTCGAAAGATGAGATGCAACAAATTAATTAAGACTGATAATGAATGAGATGAGTTGCCATGTGACTCACTCTTAGCCCAATATTCACCACCAGCAAAGACTGATTTTCACGTTTTGCATTTGGGATTTCAATTGGGTTAGTTGCAATTATGAGTAGATTCAGAAATTCGTTTACCTTCATGTGATATTTGCACCAGATTAATGTTGTTGCTTAATTCCGAGTGTAAAGTTAAAAAGCCCGTTTGGTCATAAGAATTTTTTTATCTTTTTGAATTTTTTATTTTTATTTTTTAAAATCAGCGCTTGGCCATAAAATTTTCAGTTTAACTTAAAGATGAATTTTGGATTTTTCCGAAAATTTGAAAAATTTCAAAAAGCTATTTTTCAAAATTTTCACTCAGATCACTCACAAAAATTCAAAAACAACCCAAAATTATATTCATGTCCAAACATAACTCTAATTTTCAAATACCATTTTCAATTAAAAAAAATTCTTTTTTTTTGAAATATTATAATTCTTATGTGCAAAACACCCACTAAATTTTCTGAATAGTATCAATATAGTGTTACACTAAGAATCGGCAAATATACATTTACACATTATTGCTCACATAACCTCGCTAGTGTTTCAAGTAAGGCTTAACAAACCATGCATGGGAACTTGAGCCTTTTTTATGATGGCAAAATGACAAATGGGTCGTTCTATTTCCTGCCACCTTTCATGACAATAGTTTTTTTTTTTTGAATTTATTTTTATACTCCCTCTGTTTCAATTTATGTGAACTCATTTGATTCGGCATGGTGTTTAAGAAAAGAGAAAAAAATTTTGAACTTGTGATATAAAATGAGACACATATATTTTGTGTGGTTATAAATTATTAAATAAAGGTAAATTATTTCCAAATAAAAAAATATGCCATTTTTTTTACATAAATTAAAAAAAAATAGGTTTACGTAAATTAAAACGGAGGGAGTATTATGTACTACGATAGAGTGAGGGCATGTACGAGAAGGCAATCACGAAGTGTTAATACTAGTCACTTCAATAGTTCTAAGGAAGCGGACTTGCTCATATAATCCTTAACATGCATTAAGAAGTTGTCTTCTGTGATTAGTTCTATGCACATTCATGTTTTATATAAACTCAACAAGTTTCTTAATTATGAATTAGTCGGGTTGATTTTCGGAAATACTATAGTATTATATATTGCTGAAATTGATCACCGATATGTTATTTCTATGACACCAACAATTATGCTTCAATTACCATGTTAGTTAGAGTCGTTTGTATGAATTCGCAATATCATAATATACATTTTTCTGCTTTTATAATTTATTTTTCAAATTTATTAGCGTAGAAAACCTTGTTATAGATAGGGGTGGTAATATTATTTCATGTTTCATGACTCACCCAACCCGTCCAAATTTAAGCTGGTTAGTGACCAATCCAATTAATAACTCAGCCTATTTTGATACTTCCAATTCAATCCATCTATTGGCAAGGGGAGTCAATTGACACCATTTAATCGAAAAATTACATTGTGTAAATACTTTAAATTCTTAATTTTATGTGTATATATTATATGTTGATTCCCCTTGTTTTCTTTGTGTGCTTACTTATTTATATTTTGATTTCCCTTAATTAAAATCCAGGCTCCGCCACTGCTGATTTGGACTAAATATATAGCTCAGATTGGCCTATAAAAATCCTTGTCAAAATATTACAATACTTTTCTTTGTTTGATATGTTATACTATATAGTCATAATGAAAGGAAAAGGAATGTTATTAGTTTTTCTTGGTAATTACACAAAGAATCAAAGGAAGAAACTAAAACGTGGTAGTTGGGTGGGGTGCGTGATGAGCCATTGTTTAGACTAAGGGTGTCAAATGGGCGAGATGAGCGGGTTTAAATGGGTTGAGTTAATATTTGAGCGGGTCATTTAGTTATTTGGGTTAAGATAGGCTTGGTCAAGATGAACTAAAATTTGGGTCATAACCCAACTCGCTTAACTCTTATCAAGCTTTACTTAATAAGTATTATTTTCTTATGAGTTGTATAATTACTAAATAAGACTTTTTTTTTGCAAAGTTACTCTTGGATCATTTTGGTCTAAAAATCAGCTCAACTTTAAATGAGTTGAGAGGAGTTGGGTCAAGATGTGCTAAGTTCAATAAATAGGCGGGTCAATAACCAGCCCAACCTTGGGTGGGTTGGGCGGGTCATTTGGGCTTGGGCCAAATTTGACACCCCTAGTTTGGACCATTTTGAACCTGCTCATCTCATACGGGTGATCCATCTAGTTATTAACTCAATACTTTTTCGGCTACTAAATATAAATAGTTTTCGGCACGAACTAAAAGTGAAAAGAAAAAAAAACTAAATTAATTCAATCAAACCTGTCCATTTGACACGCATATTTATAGATATCCATTTCAGGAGACCTTCACTTTGCTAGCTGCTGTTTCGATAATTACCATATACATCTTGGTAGCTGTCGATGCAATGATGTCGTTTGGTTGTGCCTTCCGATAGAAGGATCAAAAACAGACTTTGCATTAGACTTAATACAATTTGTCGTGTCTCGTCATACAGGCGTCTTAATGTGCACAATTTGGTGATTTTATATATATCAGTAATCAATCAGAATGTTCGTACTCTAATAAACAGCATTAATGTGGAATCCGACCATGTGTATGAGTTTATGACTACAATTAATCAGAATTATTTTAATGATCAAAGAGCATTTAATTTAAGAAACCCATGTCTTAATTTCCATGAAAAACTGTGTTGATGCAACGAACGAGCATCTCCTAATGTACTATCCTAAGTTCCTAACTTGACAACTTTCATATTTGGTAGTAAAACCTACTCATGTAGGACTTGAGAAGCATTAGCATTACATATACTTGGTTGCTACCAATTATGGCAAGGATTTGTAGCCAGTAAACCCGGGGGGAGGGGGGTTTGGTACTAATCACCACCAACAACAACCCAGTAAAATCTCATAAGTGGGGTCTGGGGAGGATAGAGTGTACGCAGACCTTACCCCTGCCCGGAGGGATAGAGAGGCTGTTCCAAATTTGGTACTAATCACCATCTTTAAGATTAGGTTAGGATTCAGGTAAGCATGTTTTTTAAGTCTCAATTTGAACGATCAAAGCCTTCTTATTGCCTCTGGATAATCATTAAACTACCATAAGTGGTATTAGCTAGCTTTCCTTCTTTCTAACATGGTTGGTATTAGTCTTCCAAAAAGGAACAAAGTGATGAAAACAAGAATGGGAAAGCTAGGTCCATTTCTTTTAAAAATAAATAAGAGGAAACTTTAGGAGATTTCTCAACTTTTTACTCTGCTTCAAGATTATCTGCAGTTTTTTTAACTAAGAGAAGGGGAAATGAAAGTTTATACAACACCTTATCTTATACATCAGAAATTTAATAAGTATGTCACATCGAATTAAAGTACAGATACATAACCTAGTTGTCAAACCTTGAAAGCTTGCAAGCTATTGTTATCCACAAGAATTTTGTTGGCACATAAATGTAACCAACTTATATTGCTCCAAAATATTCTTCCTGATTAGTCAGTATTCCTTCTGTATTTTTTTTTGGATGTTTCTTTGTTTGAAACACATCAATACCAAAATTCATTGCTGCCATAAATTACTGAAACACTCCATGTGATACTTATTTATAGTAAAACTTACAATCTGCAAGTGTTTAATTTGCATGGTTAATTAGTACTTAGTAGCATTTTACATAGCTCTTTAATAAATTTATACCAATGTAACAGGATCATTATGGCTATGGGACTTTTCTATTATGGCCTCCGAGACACGACTGCGACATATGCTACTAACTTCCTCAATCTAATTCCAATAGTAACCTTTATCTTCTCAACTGTATTACGGTATGAAGTTATAGCATTCAGTTTAGGACATGGAATATTTCGAGCTCATTTATGTCTTTGCTTATTTTACTTCTGTTTTTTTGTATGCTGAAGTGTTGAAAAGCTAAGACTGAAGACTAAGGCTGGTAAAGTTAAACTTATAGCTGCAATGTTGTGCTTGGCCGGAGCACTGACTATTACACTCTACAAAGGCAAAGTGTTCCATTTCAGTCATCACAACAAGCATGAAAATAGTTCCAAGGATCATACGAATATAGTTCGTGGAACTATTTTCTTGATTTGTAGTTGCATGTCTTATGGTTGTTGGTTCCTAATACAGGTAAATTTGTAGCCAAGGTTAAGGCAGTTAACTTTTTGAGATGAATTAACTAGCTTGATATCGACGTATAAGATGAGTAATTTATGATATTATCCCTTTCTTAATTATGTAACAGGCCAAGGTGTCCAAAGTGTTCCCGTACAAATATTCTTCAACATTTATTATATGCGTAATAGCAACGATCCAAAGCGTGGTAGTTGGATTATGCATAGATAGAAGAAAGGTCTCTTGGAAGCTGGGATTGAATTTGCAGCTAATCACTATCTTTTACTCGGTAAGAGTCAATTCCATAACTCATGTTTGGCAAATTTGGATCAGTAAGTGAGTCATTTTGGTATTGAATTAAAGGTGTGTAACATACCAAAAATGATGCTTACGGGGTGTCAAATAAGAATGTTGGAATTAAAAGCTTATTAGTAAGTAATTTGAAATAGACTAAAGAGGAAAAGAGACACATAAATTGAAATGGAGGAAGTAGTATCAGTTTGAAAACCTTTACTTGAGAGAAAAGCTAATAGTGTTTGTAAAATGCAGGGAGCGTTAGCAACGGCAGCAACATTTTGCCTGATATCATGGGCAGTTGCAAGAAGAGGACCAACGTACCCCTCTATGTTCAATCCTCTGTCTTTGATTTTTATAGCTATCGCAGAAGCTGCCTTTCTTGGTGAAGAGATCAGTATCGGAAGGTAAAAAATTGTGATCTTTGATGTTCAACTTATCTGTTCTAATTCGCTAGTTAAAATTTATGATGCAAGACTCAAACTTAATGCAAATTTAAACTAAGTACTAGCTATCTTGTTACGTTTAGTTGCCTACTTTCATTTAAATTAAATATTTTTGCAGCTTGATTGGCATGTTTCTGATCATAGTGGGATTGTACTCGTTCTTGCGGGCAAAGAGCAAAGAGCTCCCAGTACGAATTGAATCGGATGTAGGAGATGCTGAAGCACAAACGCCTCAAAATGAAGGAATGCATTCCATAAACATGGAAATTCCAATTTTAGCACGTGAAAGTGCTAGATTTCAATCAATAGCAGTACAAGTTCCTACTCCTATTCAAACACAAGAAGAAAAGGAATCCAATGTGTCCAGCAAGATAAACAAATTAACAGAATAAAGTTTTGGTGATGAATGATTTAATAGGAGTTGCTTTCAACGACATTTGGAGGGACCAGTTTTGCCACGGAATTAGCCTTAGCTCACTCTTTGTCCCTTCGATAATTCAAGAGCCTCTAACGCTCAGGTGTTGTATACTGATGAATTAAAGCCAATATTCAATCTCTAGTCTCAACTTGATTCAGACTTGCGTCCTAGTGATGTAACATATCAAACTCCTTTTATTTAATTTGTTGTAATAAAATTTTGTCAGACAACATTGCTATTGGCATTGGTTGATTAATTAGTTAAATAAACATATCATCTAATCACATACTAATTGACCGTGACTGGAGTTGACATTCTTTAGTATGGTTTTGTGTTGGTTGAATAATAGTAGTAGAATAAGTCAAAGATACTTTTAGTTGTTTTTGATTTGTTTGTTTACCTAATATCTAAGAGATTTGTTTTCTGTTACCTAGACTCTAGTAATTAGTTCCTATTGTTATGTTTATTTTTGCTGTAATTGCCTATAAAAGGCTGATGTTGTTGAATAAAGAGTGAATGAAGCCGCAGCTCATTCGACTAAAGTATTTCTTTCTCTATCTGTTTATATTTCCTTGCGTCAGATTGCTATACAAAAAGCCATTTTGCTTTTGCATTAGCATACACTTTCTTGTTTTTTTAAACATCTTGAACTATGAGAAAAGCGAAAATTTCATTGACATGGTCAAACTATTTTCCACTTAAACAAGTGTCCCACCTTTTTAGTTATTATGGACTGGAAGAAGCCTAGTGAGCAATATTACCTGCTTTCATAAAAACGGTGAACAATCCATCTCTTCGTTAATATCATTTCATAAAAGGACTAATAGGGAGTGTGTCTGTCAAATGACGTAGTCATTGAACTACTTTAATTTGACAAATCAATTCTTTTCAGAAAAGTGACATTTTTATATGAATTGCAAGAATAGCTTAGTCGCGGGGCAAGCTTCTAAGTTGTTTTTTAAGTATATTGGGGGACGAATATGTGGTGGTGGCACTTTGGGCGACAAGACAATCTGGCTTCTGTGTCTGCTAAAAAAAATGGAAAGCCAAAGTCAAAGAGGGTTTAGCTGACGCCTAATGGATTTCGTTAATGATCCTGTATTTGTGTGTCAATCTTATCTAAAATTAAATCTTATACTAGCCTTGCTGAAACTATTTAGCGAACACGGTATTGTTTGACAAAAAAGTATAACTTTCGGTTAATCTATTATGTTTATATAATGATGGGTTAAATCTACTTATGGATAATAACTCTAGATGTAAATCTTAAAAACGTGCGGAAGGTGGGAACATGCCCCGTAAATAATTGATGACAATAAGCGCAAAATATTCTCAAAGTATCAGCAATAATGAAGGTGTAACTAACAATAAATAACAATAAATGTCATTTGAGTAAATAAGAAAAATGGTTCACCCAATAATAGATGGGTTGGACGAATATTTCTCCTCACAATGATAAGTGACAGAGAGATCTAAGATTTATTTGAACAATCCTCTGATCTGGTGGAGAGATATGGAATAATATGAGCAAGAATCTTTATCAAAAGACATTTTTTTATTTTTATAAGAGGGAGAGATTCTTCTTATGAAAAGTGTTCTTATCAAATGAATATTACATGTCTTTCTTCCTCTTTTTTTTCCTTATATATTCAACACATATCCCTAATAAACTATAATAGTACAAATGTAGAGAATATTCTCTCTAATATCCCATTCTGAAAACTGGTTGTTATTGTCCTTTATGCAGTGCTTGGCCTCGATCATGGTTGATACGTTGGCCATGAATTTTGATGCCTTCTTGTCGACCTCGACCGACTCTTTCCTTAATGACAAATTAGGCCAAAATCTGCCCTTATACAGTTAGTCCATCCGCTTATTGCGGTCGAGCTCAGACGGCCTTGATGAGCAGATTCTGCTTATCGTGGTTGACAAAATTGGGCAAGCAAGTCGAATAGTGGCGCTTCAGACGAGGTGGCAACATGACTTTTCGTGAGCCGCAACCTTTGGGGTCGTATTGTTTCAGAATGACGTCATGACATCATGCGTCATTATGACATATTTTCCCGATGTTTTGCGTCGTTTCTCGCGCTTCTACCGTTTCGATACATGTGTTGGGTAATGATGGCCTGATTTCTTGGTCCTGATGCTTGAACTCTTATAAATAAGGACCTGAGGCCATTCATGTTTGTTTTGCATACTCCTAATATCAAATCCATGTGTCTTCTTCTCCATTCTCCATATTGAATCCTTGTTTCCTTTTTACTTCATCATTGCGTATCCACTTCCCTCATTCCAGTGATTTTAGTTGTTTTCTACCCTTCTGTGCTTAAAACATCCTCTCTAAAAAATATGGTTAACGCACCATCTAGTTACGGCATGGCGACTAACCCTGCCCCTTTGGCGGTGCGTATGCCTCCTCACGGCGATGGTGTTTCGGTTGCCCTTAAAGACAAGAAGTTTCCTACGGTAGAGGAAATAATCCCTCGCAGTGAAAAGGCTAGATCTGACTATTTGAAGTTGCCTGAAGACGGCCCTGAGGCCTCGAAGTCCGTGATTAATGAGGTCGATCTCGCTGAGCATAGGGCAAAGTTCAAAATTTTCGCTCATATCGATCTGATTCCAGCGGGGCGCGATGTGGTACAGATACATCACCCTGTATATTGTGCGTTCTATGTGTATTTGTTCTATGTCGGCTATTCCTTTCCTATTCTCCCATTGGCGGAGGAATTTTACCGCTGCTACGACATTTGCCCTTACCAACTCTCCTCTTACATCTACAAGCTTATCCGTATGTTGACGAAATATGCGGAGTTGGCTGGCCGTGGGGCCTCACTTCGCCACCTAATGCATCTCTTCGCCCCTAGTTTCTATAGGGGGACGATGTTGCACCTACGCCACTAAAGGAGTTAAAGTCTGGTGGTAAAGTTGGACGATAAGGCAAATCGCCAGTTCTGGCTCAATTATTTCTTCGTCAAGACCGAGGACGTGGTGGTTAATGCGAGCAGATTCCCTGAGGCTTGGAATTATGCATGTAAGTATCTTTTTGCCAAGCATTTGTTTTGCCCGTTTTAGTCGTAATCTGATATTCCGTCCCTCTTTTGTGCAGCCGAGACTTTACCCCTCTTTTGTTCGGGGACATTCATGACTGAGCCAGCCAGGTCTTGCCTCACACAATGGGGATTCTTGAATGGCCGGCCTTTATCAAAAAATTCGGGCATACGCCTTCAGTGACCGGTGAGTTCCTCTATATGTATTCATTTATACATATATAATTGTTATTTTTTTATCTATACCGTTTTGACTTCATGGTCGCCTGCTCGTTACGGTTTTGAATAGGAGGTGATAGTCTTTTAATTTTTTCTTTTTCAGCTCGAGGGTCTTCGAGAAGGCCTAGAGCGCCTGCTCCGGTGTTTCGTAAGAGGAAGGTTGTTTCTGTTCCTTCTGCAGCGGTGAGGTCTGCTCGGTCATTGACTACATCTGCAGCAAGACTCTCGACTTCCCCTTTGCATCATCTAGTAGACAAGGACGATGAGGAGGAATCATCGTCGAATGGTGGTAACTTGCTTCCCCATAAGCGGCAATCTTTGGATGTTAGCGAAGGAGCTGTCTGGGCGGTGAGTTCGGCGATGGGGGATTTCGTCGTCCGAGAAACGACGACCATAGAAATTGAAGATGATTCCGAATTACTGCCCACGATTCTGCCATCATTGGGAGCCGAGGAGGGTACGTCTCTCCCTGAGACCATGATTGATTTTGAAAGGCACTCGACGAGAGTCCCTGACGACTTACGGCATGATGAGTCGTCGGCCTCGTGACCAATCGAAGATCCTTCTTCCAGGGTTGAAGCAAAAGGAAAAAACGTAGCCAAAGAAGGTTACGAGACGGGATCCGATATGGATACCGAGGATGTGAGGATGATGGGGGAAGGACTTACCTGACTTGAGGTGAGGTTGGAGGGGACCACGCGGACTATTGCGATCCCCTTGGACTGGGATTTGCTAGTTGACACGGAGGATGTGGTCCCTTCTCTTGGTCCCCTCTGTTTCGATGTGGAGGGTAAAACCTTTGAGAAGCTTAAGGACGCCACTTTATCGAGGATCATAGCTGGCCTAGCTCTTAGGCTAAGTTTTTCGATCTCCATTTTTTTTTTGTCGAGTTCAAAGTTTCATTCTTACTCCTCATTTTCTGTCTTTCTTTCAGACCGTGATTTTGGAGATCGAGAGCGCCCAACGAGAGGAGGGGTGTAAGGCTATTTTCCAGAAAAAGGAGCGGAAATATCATGAATACCGTGATAAGCACCGCGAGATCTATAGACGGTTCGGTGGGAGCAGCAATTTCCAGGCTCTCTGAGATGAACTGAAGGAGAAGGATGACGAATTGGTGAGGGTCATCAGAAAATGCAGCGTTCTTGAAGGGGCATTGATGGAAAAATAAGAAGAACTTGAGATGAGCAAGGGGGTCGAGGCCCAATGTGCCGATCTTCAAGCCCAGGTGGTTTCGTTGTGCCGAGCTCGAGGAGTGTCAACTCAAAGTGGACACTTTGAGTGGCGAGGTTGCTGAGAAGGCAACGGATTGGGAGAGAGCAGAGTTGACCCGGTTGGGGGCTGCGAGGAAAGCGGAGGCTTTGGAGATTGTAATCTGCATTCTTCGTTCTGAGTGGGAGAGTTCTCTGGAGACGGCCAGGCTCAGGGAGCAGCGGCTTGACGAACGGATAGGGGAGCTGAAAAAAAAAGGCTTCAGGCCTTTGTGATCGAGTTTCTGCTCTCGAGGACGAGAAGGCGCAGTTATTGGCTCGGCCGTTTTATTCTCGTACTTCTGCTTTTCCTGATGTTCCGCAGGATTTGTACTAGAAATGGATTCATGTCGAGGCTAACTGGATATATTTAGAGATCTAATGTAGGTGGGGACTATTTCGGAGGATGACTTCGAGAATGCTCGTGCTAAGGCGCGTAGAGATCGGTTTGCTTGCGGTTATGATCCTGCTACACCGGAGGCCGGTGATAATGATAAGGATGCGGGCGTGAATCGGATTGAACAGTACGCCTGGTATGAGGATGAGTATCCCGATGGCGATGGCGGTGGCGGAGAGGCAGATGGATATGGCCTAGGCGATCAAACTGGTGGCGCAGTTGGGTCAGGCGGCGATTAGTTTTTTTTTTCTTTTTTTTTGTTTAGACGCAGACTTGTGAATGTATTTTTGTGGGTGTCTCTTCGAGCCTTTGTAAAAAAAATATTCTAAGTATGAAATGCTAGTTTTGTTACTCGTACCTGATTATTTTTCTTCTG